AGAATTCTATTAGCTATCTGCCTATTGTACATTTTTCAATAAATCCTTTAAAACTCGACTTATTCGTTTGACTAAGTTACTGTAAAGTTAGCGTGGATACTGGATACACCATCTGCATAATAATCTTTGTTCATAACAAGCTGAATAAAAGTACTTAAGTAAATCTGACGGGTAATAAATCTCGAAGGACCAGGTTAGACAGGGGAAGATGGATAGCCAGGGTGTAGTCAGGTACTGAATAAATGCTAAGGTGGGGAAACTCATGCTATTGTATGACTGTATAATTACTGGTTCAGTTTTAATTAGAGTTTGTGTAGAAAAATATGTTGAGTGACTTATAAGGTAGAAATCAGAGAAAACTATTTTATATGTTGTAAGTTATGTTTGAATAGTAACCACGTGCAGCTGGAATAGCTTTTCTTAGCTAATTTATGAACAAAGTTGCCTTCTCTGTCTCTATAATATCTCTATGTAGGCTTAAATCTTTTAAACTATGCAACGGATTTTGATCTAGTTTTTTAAAGACTGGCTGTTTGAAGGGATGGTTTGTGATATTCTTGGATATTTTCTACTTTGTAGTAATGTAAGTAATGAGTTCAATAAATAATTTAATTGATAACATACTACTTTGGACAATTTTGGATAATGTTATTCGCTACAATGAGAGCTCAAAATAGGTACTATTTAACAGGCTAAGTGGAGACAGCCATTTTCGACACTGCCGATGAAGTGTGGAACTTTTCGAAAATGTTTCTTTTTGTTTTATTATAGTTTTTATATTTATAAGTATATTGTATGTATAATACAATTGTCTTGGCTAGAAGCTTGTTATTGGGAAAAATAAGTACAAAAATTTCCCCTGGGACTGAAGATTTTGGAGCTCTGAGACCAAATAAATAATGAACGTGGAATTGAACAGCGTTTTGTCAAAGGAATTTCTACATACGAGCAAATTGCTATTAATACAAATACGTCTTGAGATAAATTAAAATAAATTACATTACTGGGTTCTTACATTCAAATATTTCTCTTTTCTGTAGGTAGTAACCTAAAGAAGTCGATACTGTTTTATGGTAATCGATTCTCATTTTATTCTTTGTAGACTTTAGCCGGTGTGTTATCTATACGTTATTTTATAAAGAAGTATCATTTGTAAGTTTGTATGTAGGGGGGTCTTTGGAACCCCTGCTCGGATTTCCAAAATTTCCAAAACACTGATAGGTAGCTACAATGTTTTTGAGTGGTATAGGCTATGAATTTATAGGCTTTGATTCGCGTATTTTACTGGAGCTACCGTTTTAAAAGTTGCTGTTTTTAAAATCCCGCTGCTTTTCATAAATACTTCTACGCGGTTGAATACTAGTCATTATTATAGTGTACTAAGTCATTAATTAAAAGTAAAAAGACTGTCACAATTTTCGTTTCCCGATTTTCAGTTTAACAAAACAGACATTACCTACAACATCTTTACGAAGCAAAATATTGACCTGTTTGCTTATCTATTTTATATTTTCACAAAGAATGCAAAGAGTTGCGAACGATATATAAAGAGAATACTTTACACAAAGGATATTGCTTTTATTACGGCACGTATTTCGAATATTTACTTAACAACATTCTTATTTAATTACAAAGACTACAGAATGTACTTCTTTTCGTCTTTTTGAACAATGAATATAAATGTTTTTGACACTATATCGTTAAGTTTTTAAATTATCAACTGAAACGTGAAAACCGATAACTGTGTCACTATCGAGTTAATGCCAAACAGTAACAGTTACAGCAAACAAAACGGAATGCCAGAAATCTGTTTAAAAATGCTTAAAATGGTCAAGTTTTTTTAACTGCCCTCCGTAATCAACGAACAGTCGGACAATACAAACATTTGTAGTTACAAACAAAAACGATTTTTAATTAATTCTCGATTGAATTTTGCTACGTTTTTGGAATGTGAATGATTTAAACCGATTGATATTGAACTGTAACGATTTAAATCGATTGGTAACTCGGAATCTCGTTATGAATGGAATTATTGACGTTAAATCCGGTTCCCGTGGCTGCATCGTTTTATTTCTTTGCCTTTATTTTTATTGAAGCGATTGATTTTAATGCGAAAATGATTTTACCTAGGAGGAAAATATTCGATTCTCAATTTTGCACCGACTTTATACCATCTGTGTACCTATCTATTAATTACAAACGAATATAATACTTCATATTTCATTTTCAATTTGTATATATGTACACATAGAGCTGACTTCTTACTACTGCTTCTCTCAGTAAATGCTCCCTTAAAGGCTTAGTGAATTAAAAATGAAACAGTTGAACTAAAATATCTATGGGTTTTTAATTAAAAAGTTTAGTAGGACTCGAGTCAAAGTTTAAGTGTACTAAATTATAATTGTTTTACGCGTTTCCGAGTAATAAAATAAAGCATCATAATTGCGTGAAGGGCCGTAACTTAGTTTTAAGAAGTTTCGATTAAGTTTGTTGTTCGGAACTTCTCTACAGGGGCTGAAGGGGCTGCAGGGTCCGCCGGTTTGCTTCGTTCTCATGCTCTGATTGCTAAAACCCCTCAAATCCTGGCTTTGCTTAAAACTCTGTACTTTTACTGCTATTTATAATATTTGTTTTTACGTAAATTGTAGTGGATATGGAAAATATTTCAGGATTGATTTGTTGTTTGCCTTGTCAAAGTAGGTATTAATCAGGTTTCACACTTAAGTGTGGGTAGCACGAATGGGTCAGCTCGACCGGAGTGAGACCCCGTTCCCTCCCCAATCCCTAAAACTCCAAAACCCTATCCCTAAAAGGTCGGCAACGCACTCGTTACTCCTCAGCTGCGGGCGTCCATGGGCGGCGTAAATTGAAACAAATTATTATTAGAAATTTAAAATAAACATATGCAATGTACCTATTAAATGTAATGTACATAAAAAAGTTAACGTCAACGCATTAACAAAATAAGAATCCAACAATAAATATTCTAACATTATTCGATTCGCAAAACCAAATCTACTAATGTATGAAGCATTCCATCGCATTACGATTTTCATTTACAAAAAAGGTTTATATAAGCTAAGCTCTTAAACCTAAATCAGTGTGAGAGCCAGCCGTCTACACGTCTAGTCCTAAACACTTTTAAACGACCTACAATCTGTCACATACGCATTCAAATAGCGAGCCGTTTGTTAGACTAGCTTGTGGACACAAAAACTTGTCTATCATTTTTGTTAATGTGGGTAAATATGTTACTATGTTACTTTTTAGGTACATGCGTAAGAGTAATCCTTTAAAGTGTTTCGAGATGTGAATGAGGTTACCGGTGACTTCGTCGCCTCCCTCAATCCCTAAATCGCCGAAACCGTAGTCCCCAAAAGGCGTTGCTGGTGTCTATGCTTACCATCAGGTAATCCGTCTGCTCGTTCAATAGAACTGCGCCAACCGTGTGGACTACACTGGCTGAGCAACTAGCTGCTGCTCAACTTTTCACGGGTTCGGCTTCCGCACGGAACAACTCTTTGTTTGATTTACAAAGTGTTGTTTTGGAACTAGGCATGATCCTAGGGCTATAAAAACACTTAAAATACAGTTAAAAATAGAACAAAACACTAAACAAAAAAAAAACGTTTTTGAATTGCTTGTTTTTGAACATTTTCACCCAGTGTTTAGCAAAAGTTTTTGAACATTTTTGAACATTTTCACCCAGTGTTTAGCAAAAGAATAGCTCCTATTTACAATATAACAAGGATTTAACCAATTATATAAACAAAAATGGAAAATAACTTCTTGAAAACTAATAAACTCACGTGGAAAGTGATGATTTGGACTTGAAGACAGACTAACCAGCTCTTCTTCAATACAATGATGCGTCGTTCATAAAAGCCTCAAGAAGGTATCACTCACTTTACATAAAATAAAGACATTATGGCTTAGACCTTAGCGACCACGTCATCATAGAAGATAATTCAGAAGATAGAATCTCCCCTCCTATTAGCATAGAAACTGCAAGATCTATTCGACCCCCTCAATGCTGTGCACCTTTACAAGAACAACAAAGGAAAATCTTGGTATTAAAGCGACCTTATTATAATAAACCCTTCGTATTATTAAAGACTGCGCGTGAGGCGCCGATAGCTGGGGTAAACAACATCCATATTGCCTGGGGTTATCGTTGTAGAGACGTACGTAGTTTGGGGTTTTATCGATATTATTATATATAGGTATCGATAAAATGCGAATTAACTAGGTACCTCACGCGTCAAGTAAAGTTAGACTATTATCAGGTGGGTTGAACTGAGTTCCAGAAGGTATCCGGAGCGGTAATATGAAGTTCAAGTCTGTTAAATGGAGCCTACAAAAGTACGTTCTCAGGGGATTGCAATTTAAAGCCGCCCGCGGCTTCGCCAGCATGGTGGATAAAAAGTGGCCTATGTGTTATTCTAGGGTATCACCTATCTACCAAATCTCAACCACATCGGTCCATCTGTTTTTGCATGAAAGAATAATAAACAAACATTCATAAATTTTCACAAACTTTCACATTTGTAGTGTTAGTAGGAATTGGAATAGGATCTGTGCATTTTTACGCCCATCCTACGCTTCGATAAAATTCTGATTTACAAAAATATTCATGCATAAAACTATCGACATGTCACATCACTGTTCACCACTAAGGGTCGGGTCGGCCACTAGGTAAGCTGTGTACACAGCCCTTACTACGTTTATTGCAGCATCCTGTATAGGTTTAAACAAACTAGAACCTTCTGAAACAATTAGCTAGATGAGTACCTGCAATGAGGAAGGAAAATTAACTAAAAATACTATCTTTATGTTTTTCATGGAAATGGTGCAAACAACTTCAACAAGAAAATTGAGGTTCCCATTTCCGTTGAGTACCCAGTATTCACTTGTGATAAACAACAACTATTGGTTGACTGGTAGTGTCAGAAGACTTATGAACTCCTTTTTTTATAAATGTTCTATGTTTGCAAGGGCAGCTCGCCGCCCGACCAGAACCAGGCCCGAGCGTACGGCGCGTAGCGTTCCGCGCGTGCCTTAAAGAGGCTATAGGGCTGATGTTCAGCCGAGGTTGCGGAGAAAGCGCAATGAGGCACCGCGACCTCGGCCCAGAGCAGGAGAAGGAACAGGGGGTTTTTAGTCAGTAAGAGTCTGACACTGTTTTAAGTGTGGGAGAGCCATGCTTCGGCACGAATGGGTCGGCTCGACCGGAGTGATACCACGGCCTCACAGAAAACCGGCGTGAAATAACTACTGCGTTGTGTTTCGCCATGTGAGTGAGGTTACCGGAGGCCCAGTCCTTCCCCTTCCCCAATCCCTCCTCAATCCCTAAATCTCCAAATCCCTAATCCCTAAAAGGTCGGCAACGCACTCGTAACTCCTCCGTTGCGAGTGTCCATGGGCGGCGCTGATTGCTTACCATCCGGTAATCCGTCTGCTCGTTTGCCGACCTATTACATAAAAAAAAACTCCCTCCCTAATCCCTGGCCGGGAGAAGTCATTTGATGATTTCCCCTCACAAAAAAAACCCACAAAGCAAGAGAAAATCCTAGTCTGCGACATGGTATTAAGAAACATACTTTCTAGACCCGTTCTGGAAAGGTTTGACATTATTAACGAAATATAGAAGACTGGTATAGATTCCCTGATATTGATGTAAATTAATTCGACACGTGGTCAAAATTATTATTCTTGTATAAACTGAAAACGGAAAGCGAAATTTACATGAAAGCAGCCTTACACTAATAACAGATAAATTACCTGCACGATAATAAAAATGCATTTAAATACTCTTCATATATTGACACTAATCTTTGCTAATAAAACTTTACTAGCTACTACCGCGCGGTTTCACCCGCTGCTCAGCTCTATTTGATCGTAGCGTGATGTTTTATAGCCTATAGCATTCGGGAATATTGTAGCTATCTATCAGTGAAAGAATTTTGGTAATCCGACCAGCGATTACCCCCTACATACAAACTTACAAATTTTACCTCTTTATAATATTAGTATAGATTAATAATAGGTAATATTCTTATTGTTAGTTTGTTAATTGGAACGTGCTTATCTCAGGAACTACTTACTGTTCAAATTGATTTTTCTTTTTTGTCTTGTAATAGCATATTTATCGAAAAAGACTATGTACGCTATGGAACATCACGCTTTGACTAATTGAAACATAACAGCGATGGAAACTGCGCGGGAGTAACTAGTATAGAAAGAAGTCTAGTCCATCTTACACGCAGTTACATATATCGACAGCAATAAATCCTTTAATCCGTTAATTAGAAAATGAGTAAACAGTGTCGAGGTGTTTGTGTTGCGAGTTACACAGCTATCTGGTTATTCATGAGCTAACTAAGTTTCGGTCAATAATTAAACTTGTTGTTTGGTCCGGCCGATGTAAACACGGGGCAGTGGCTAGCTAGAGACCGCGCCTCGTTTGGGAATACTGCCATGTTACTAAAGAGATGAGATGACTTTTATTTCAAGTAATAATGTTGCTAAAATTCTGTGAAAATGGCAGGGAAAAGATTGATATTATATTTTTGACAATTTTTTTCAACGTCATTTGGCAAAATTGTCATAAGTATTTATTGGTTAGAAAATCATCAAGGGAGACTGTTTCATGTTCTTATTTCACCTGAGAATTTTTATTCCATCCAAGTCAATAGAGTTATAATTAAGATCCAAGTTAAATTCGCACTGCCCCTTCAGTCAAATCAATTTACTTATATGATATCACTGATGTTCAGCTGGGGTTGCGGAGCAAGCGCTATAACTTACTGCGGCCTCGACTTGGAGCAGGAGAAGGAACGGGGGTTTTAGTCAGTAAGAGTCTGACACTTCCTTTCGCGTTACTTTGGGCGAGAGAAGCTGTTTACAAGATGATAAAAAATCTAGACTATTTGTGAAGTAATCGTGCTTTAAGTATACCTAGGTATAGGGAACTAAACAGTTAACGACATCATGACACGGTCGCATTTAAGCATATTATGAAGGGAACCAATCTACTGAGTGATACCACGGCCTCACAGAAAACCGGCGTGAAACAACGACAGCGTTGTGTTTCGCCGTGTGAGTGAGGTTACCGGAGGCCTAATCCTTCCCCTCCCAATACTTAAATCTCCAAAACCTTAATCCCTAAAAAGGTCGTCAACGCACTCGTAACTCGTAACACCCCGTTGCCATGGGCGGCGTTGATTGCTTGCCATCAGGTAATCCGCATGCTCGTTTGCCGACCTATTACATAAAAAATATATAGCCACGGTACTGTCATCATAACAATAACTCAAGTACAAGAACAAGTACAGAGCTAAAACTCCTACTAATCAGCGTTAAGAACATCGTATAACTTTTTCTAAAAGCACCACAAACAAATGAACGGCTTGTAGCAAAACCCGCCCCGGTAATACCCGACAATTTGGTCGCAGTGTCGGCAAATGGCGACCACGGTAAAGTCCTACAAATGGAGCGCTTATTCTGACCAAGTGTTCTCACTGAGACTGTCGGCAAAAACTAGAAGTGTTATTATTATTGTTGATACAAAAATATCCTTACAATGATCATTATAATCTGTATCAACACCTTTGTTTAAAGAAATCTTTTAGTAAATAATAAAACTGAATCAGTTTTACTACTCTATATCGGTCCAAAAGTTCATTTAAAACGGAAATGATCCTAGAATTTGCCATGTATTCTTTGGGATAAGTCATCAGATGACTTCTTCAGCTCTGGGTGAGTCTTGAGGTTCAGAATCTTATTGGATTTACTAATTCAAACTCAAACGTATGTTGCATTCCATTATGTTACATTATATGTAACCTATATAGGCATTAAGGTCACTTAAGACCCTGTAGGAAACAGTATGCTGTTTCCAATAAAATAAAATTAATTATAAATGTATCATATGTATAGGTATATACATCAGAAAAATATATGGGATGGTCTGATAACTCGTTGAGACGCGCGCGGAAAGTGAAAGAAGCATGTACCATCTCTATAATATAATTTGTTTAAAAAGAAAGGATTCACAATAAGGCAAATCTATAATAGTTTCTACAAGATTTAATTTAGTAGTCGCAAAAACTAAAATAACACCTTTACTTACACGGGAAAACAATACTTATTTGCCTATAATTAAGTGTTATAATTAAGTATTTTTTACAACCTTTTTCCCTATCGCAACTTCCAGGACCAGCCATTACTCATACACTTTGACATATTATATTTATGTTCTATGAATAATACATTTCAGTAGCGACTAGTAAATACTAGCAGTAATGGAATCTGTTCTCTCTCTTACGGCGAAATGTAAGAAAATATGGCTGACATTGTAGACATGTCTGTATGTTTGTATGTGTGTAAGTAACGGAAAGTATGTTGCTCTTGTTTTCGTCTAGTACTTAGTGGGTAATTATCCTAACAAATAATTCTACCTAAAAATAACTTATGCATTCAGACGTTACAAACCTTCCCTGGACTTCTACACATACTTCAAGACCATAATTAGTTAAATTATTGTACCAACTGTTTTAAATATTTACAAGAAAGATGAGTTCTCAATCATTATTTTTACATTGTCTGGACTAAAAAGATATTGACTTCTGAGTTTGTTTCGGTATTTTTTCTCCGAGAAGTAGTAGAAACAGAGAGATATAATGTTAACGTGTCAAAGTATTGTTTTACGGCCTCACTACAAAAATAAAAATAAAATATTTAATTGCATGATGTTTTTAATCATAAATCTTGATATTAATTAATGAACCTTTAATTTAAAAGTCAACGAAGAGACGGATTCCAGTAAAATAAATTGATATGCATGTAAAAAAATGTGCAATTTCTTGAATTTTATTTTGTAAACAGATTACTCGGATTGATAGATACTTATTTAGTTTCATTCGATACGTTTCTTCAACTATGATGTTAAACAATAGAACAAAAACTTGTAAACATATAATAAAACAGTATGAGTAAGACAATCAATAATAGAATTTGCATTTGTTTCGCTACAGATTGAGTTTCAAAACATTCTCACTACAGTTTTTCAAACCGAAAGGACTAAAAAACTTTCTTAAAATCCAACTAAATATGTTCAGTGTTTATTTGAATAATAATAATCAATACGAATTACTCTGTGATAAGGTTGAAAATCTCTATTTTGATCCGGTTCAAGGGATTTGGATATATGTATGTATAATATGTTAGTATTCTTATAGTTTTCTTTCTACATGTAGACAATTACCACCACTTCTTTTGTGAGCGATTACCAACATGATCAGCTGAAAAAAAGTGTAGATACACATTTTTTTGATGACTTCTCTCGCCCTAAAAGAGGGAGTGTGTCAGACTCTTAGTGACTTAAAACCCCCCTTCTTCTTCCTGCTTTAGGCCAAGGCCTCGGTACTTTATAGCGCTAGCCCCACCACCCCGGTAGAACATCGGCCCTTTAGAGACCATTTGTGTTAGTTTATGGGCTCTTTGAGGCCCGCTCGGAACGCTACGCTCTGTACGCTAGGGTCCGATTCTTATCGGGTGGCGAGCTACCCTTGCTTAGCTTGCCGTCTGCAGACCAGTGCTTACGTTAGCAGTGCAGATACAGTTAAGGTTGATGCATATCATAGAGAAATAAGAACTGTTCTAGATACAACGTAATTAATCAAAATACTATACCAATACTTTCTTCTCAGGAACATGAGACACGACGATACTTACTATGATACTCAGACCGTGGTACAGGTGTATGAAGGTTTTGGCAATAGCCTTCACTTGAAGACCTTGTATGAACAGATGATGATGGCAATAATCTTCTTGTTACAGGATCTTCAATCAGAGATCGAGACACACCGCGATGTGTACGCGTCGCTCACAGGGACAGGGCGCCGGCTGCTCGGCTCCCTGTCTTCTCAGGAGGACGCTGTCATGCTGCAGAGGAGACTGGATGAGATGAACCAGCGGTGGCATCATCTCAAAGCCAAGAGTATGGCCATCAGGTGGGTGTACGACTTCATATTTGCTTTATTCTTATGACATTTCGCTTTAGGTATAAGAACTTTGTATTTCAATCACCTATAATTAATAAGTGGCCAAGTAAACACAAGCACGATATATAAAAAATAAGTATTAATTACTAATCTCGTGAAGAGAAAAGTTACATAATAGTATGGAGACTTAGATAAATGTCAAATATTTTGTTATATGATTACGGGTATGTGTAAAATATTACAATTTGTTTGACCCTGATCGTCATGATCGGCTATAGACGACAAACGTAAAATAGGCTATGTCGACAATGTCGAGTATAGCCGACAGGAAAACGTCATAATTAAGCACCTCTATATTTGATTTTGCATGTAAAATATTTCTCCCTAACTCCCCATATATTCCAAATATTATTGGACAGCCGGTATTCCAGGCAGATTCGTCTAAAACAATCAATATGTCCACTAACCCAATAACCGGCACGTTACCCGGCGGCGATCGCGACTGCAACCCGTTGCGGCAACTGGTTGCTAAACCAATTACGTCACTGGTTGCTCGCTCTAATTGCCATTAATGTACTGAGTGTCGAATAGATACGTGTAGTGACGTTTATGGCAATTTGTGTACTCGGAATTAATATCTTGATCGTTGATGTAAATTAATAAAGTACCCAAATTGCAAATCTTTTTAAGACAGGTTTTAAAGAACTATTTAAAAAGGTCAATATGAAAATATACAGCCAGTTTGCTCTATGTGTTAAGAGAGCCGTCATATCAACCGTTAATACAACGTCAAAACTCTGAACGGAAAGTTACAAAAGTGCATACAGAAAATTCATATTCAGGTGCGAACCGTTTTCTATAGAAAGTTCTCGAACCACCTTCGAACTAAAAGTAGAAAATGAAACTCATTTTGCCGGACCAGGAATTAATTTGCGAAGTGTCACAACATGCCCCCCCCCTCTCTCGCGTCTCCCCCAACTAGAGGGAGTAGAGTTGTAAACTCCCCCATAAAATGTATACTGCTAAAGGTTTTTGATAGGAAATAAATTGAAGAGCTAATTCTATTTGGGTTAGATCGATCTTTGGATAAGGTTTGTGGTTTGGTGTCAGCCAATTATTTCTCTACTTATTTTGTAGATTGGATTTTAGGGTTGACACAAGATAAATTGGTAATGCCGTCTTTTTTGCCATGAAATGGAGCAATTTATATCTATCTTTATTAGACAATACCAATGTCAAAAATATCAAAATTTTTAGTGTTACAAGGCATAATGAAAAGACCTTATATAACATATTATAAGCAAACCCTGTCTTTGAAATTAACCCTCAAACTCAAACCACACGTGGGACTTTAAAAAAGTTGAACGTATTTACAGACACTGAACAAAAACAGGCCATTAAGTGTTATTTATGGTGTTGGAAAACATGGCACCTACCACATGGGAAAGTAAGCGAAAAATGTCGCTTCATAGGTAAAATGGATGGAATGTGATAATTTTTTGAAATGATGTCAAAGAATTTGATACTTTACTAGCTGATAATTAAGGTTTATGTTTGGATACAATATGTCTTGCGGTAGCGGGTTGGTGTTAGTCTTAGTATTCAGTGCATTTTTCAGGATTTTATCAAGCGTCATGGGTGCTATTTGACAAAGGTTGCTACGAGTTAACTTTGGCTTATGAATACTTATTTAGTATAAAATAGATAATTTATGAATATCAATTTCAATGACAATTGGACTGTAAAAAGTATTAATTTGATTTACATAAGTTGAAATTCTTCCAATTCTATTAGCCTTAAACGAGTCAAGAAACTTCGAACTAAAAACATATCTGTCCCACTTTACAGTTGTAACTTCAAATAGCTCTATCTCTTTCTTACGTTAAAAGGGTTGGCGGAACTTAGGGTTGTCAATTAATAGAAAATTAGATATTCACTTAAAGGTAAAAGGAATTTATGTATTCACTGATACTTACTTTTACAGTGTCTATTATTTTAAAAGATAAATTTCTTTTGAGAACTATATCGGGTATTATTGAAATTACTACTGTTATAATGTCAAAAGGGGCTTGGATATTATCATGGTAATAATAATTGGATTTTAGTACTACAAACTATAATAATAGAATTTATTGTAAAAGGAAATAGATAGTGTGATCTATTGTCTTTATTTACGGTGATAAGAGTCAAACGTTTCGGAAATTACAAGTAGTAAATCTATCAAAGTATCAAGTGGTTTCGATTAGACTATAAATTGTGAAGATTGCACTAGGATCTCGATAACGAAATTTTCGTACAATGTCTCATTGAGCGTTAAGCAGCATTCTATTTTCAGATTTAAAATCCGAAAATAGAATGCTGCAAATGAGCAGACGGATTACCTAATGGTAAGCAATCGGAGCCACTTGTGGGCACCCGCAACACTAAAGGAATTCCGATTGCGTTGCTGGCCTTTTAGGGATTAGAGTTTGGGATATTTAAGGATTGGGGAGGGATAGGCCTCCAGTACCCTCACTCACATAGCGAAACATACCGCTGTGGTTGTTTCACGCCAGTTGTTTTAATCATAGATTTATCTGTGTTATGCTAATATTTACTAAAAAGGTACATTCTCCAATTAAGTCGGTATCACAAACAAGTAGATTTATTTGCACCGCACCGATCGCCAATCCCATAAATAATCCTTCGGTAAAAAATTAAATTTTCGCCTGTGTAACGGTCATTCTTAATATCGGCGGCCATTTTAATATCGGGCCAGGAATCCGGCGGAGAGCATTCCAAATTGAATCGAACGAATAAAAATGTTTTCTCGTATCGTAGCACGGGTTTAAATGTAGTTATTTTATCTACGTTTCAATGAAAACTATTTTATATGATTTCGTTTTCAATAACTTTGGATTGTGTTCTTTTATCTGATTTCAAATAATTTTAGTTTGTTATCATCATACAAATAACAAGTTAATGAAAATGAACAATCAGAGCTTAAAGATTGTAACAAGAATGAGCATTGTATCATTGTCAATTTTTGCACTCCTTTTTCTACAGTACAGGCGGTTCTTATGGCCCGCCGCTCGCCCGAAACCGATCAGTGAATTAATCATTCAAACTTAACAATGTGTAATAAATCTGGAATGTTCCCCGTCCGGGAATCGAACCGTCGACCGTCCATTCTCAATTACGATGTGCCATCTATGCAAATTATATTTGCTTTTGTTTAGCTGTATTTTCATGTTAATCTGATCGGATTTTTCGCTTTCCGCTCTTAAAAGGATTGGAAGAGTTTTGTTTTTCAACATAATTTTACGCCTGATTTCCTTGGAGGGGTAGCCAGGACTGTATTAAAGTATTTCATACGAAAAGCTTTCAAAGTAACAATTTTAAAGTATTTCTACTTTATTTTTTAAATAAAATGTTTACTTTATCAAGTTAGAATTATTGTTTCACTAGCTTCCGCCAGCGGCTTCGCCCGCTTGGTATGTTAATAAAAAGTAGTCTATCACCTATTCCGAAGTGTATCCTATGCCTGTGCCAAATTTCATTCAGATCCGTCCAGCCGTTTTGGCGCGATTGAGTAATAAACATCCAAACATCGTAACTTTCGTATTTATAATATAAGTAAGATAAGATTGTTTACATACATAGGTTTTTACCATATTGCTATATAAAGCTATAGTTTCCTACTAACAGTTAGTAAACACTATATATAATCCTAGGTACACTTGTTATACGCCACAAATCATAAAACGTGCCGATAAAATGATATAAAGACCTATTATTACAGTTTTATACCACTAAACAGCTACCGGTTTATGCCGACACGCATGCAGAGCGCGTTTTATTGATATTGGGGTGCGGTGCAACTGTAGGCGGTAGCGTGATCGCGGCCCCGGCCCGGCGCAGGAGAAGGTGGAAGACTTGAAGGACGGGGTGGTTTTTAGTCAATGAAAAGTCTGATATTCTCTTTTGTCCCACCCATGGCTAAAGTTCAAAAAAGTCGGTTTTGGGTGAAATTTTTAGGCTTTTTTAGTATAAATCTAGTAAAGAATCAATTTGCTTTTCGTACAACCATTCCTAATAGGTAAACATAACACCAACTCTATTGTTTTTCCAAGCATTTTACGACCAATCGACAGAGAATCGAACTTGCTTTATTTTCCTACCTCAGTAGAGCTCTTGTAAAAGTTTTATCTTTGCTATCACATGTAAAGTGGGTAATAAACTGGGCTATAGCTCGCGGTACTGCGCATTCACTTCAGCGGTTAAATTCTTATGGTGACGAGTTTTATGGAGCATCACATCGCATCATGGTGGAATAGGAAGCGAGTGTCACTATTGTTATAGCAATTTTGAAGTCCTCGGTAAGGTTAATAAAACTAAGAAAAGTATTGAATGGAATAAAACTGATATATTTTTTGAATTTGTTGATAGAAGCTGTGTAATAGAATAAAATGAAGCCATACTTACTTTATAAAAACTAATACAAGATGCAAGTATTTAATTCTTTTTTTATTGACATAATCGCACATTCATAATATTGAAAGAAATTGGTTCTTTTGATTCGGTGGCCAACTTTGATTTATATCAAATCGAAATCAAAATGTATTTAATGCATTTATAGTGTACATAGATGTTCGACAATTACAACAGCTTTTGCCTGCGACTTTGTTCGCGTGGAATAGTGACTTACTGCAGATTTTTGATTTCAAAACTTTCCTATGTCCTTTCTCGAGTTCCAAACTATGTCTATACTAAATTTCACACAAATAGTTTAGGCGTGAAGAAAAGACAAACATACAGAGTTACTTTCGCATTTATAATATTAGTTTGGATAAAAGACAACAACATTAGAGATAGAACACTACTAGCATCAAAACATCTACATACGCCACTATTCAACTGAACATAAGCGAAACTATAATCTTATTAAAAATTAACCCTCAAATACCTGAGTTTTAGCTGAGCCCCTCTGTGGTGAGGCGGGGTCCCACCGACCACTACGGTTTATGTTGAACTTGTGTCCTGCGGTTTGTGCCCAGGTGGGTCGTGTGGTTACTCGCCCTTTGTGTGGCCCCACCCTAGGCCGCCATCTTTGTATCACTTTGCTGTCAAACTTTAGGGATTATGAAGGGATCCCGCAGTATGCCAGTTTGGAATTCCTTGCGTGTTGGTTGTAGTGTGTGTGTTGTAATTAATTGTGTGTCAAATAATAGAACAAGATGTTATTATGTTAAGTCAATTGTTATATTTAGGTTAAAAGTGAGTTATATGTTATATAAAGCTCAGAAAACTACGATCTTAAAGTTATAAGTCCATCAAAACTTTTTACTGCTCCTCGAATACTTGCAGTAGAATCGCAACCAGCTAAAGTTAGTAACGCGACCTGATTGTAGTATTATCGATATCGATGAAAATGCTTATGTAAAAAATATTATGTATGTCTTTAGACACAGTTTGTTTTGCTCATAGTAGCCTAGCTTTAAAAATATTTGATATTTTTTCTTACTGAATTCGAACAACTCGAATATTATCACTTCTCTTCCACTGAGACCAACAATTTTTTTGTGACTTTTACTCAAAAACACTTAAAACATTTCAAACAACATATATACTATCGATTCTTACACCCCAACTTAACAGCACTATTCGGGTTCTCCTCGGTGTCACAACGGAGCGCGACGAAATTTCAACAATTGTACTTCTTTGTGTGTGTGCCAACTTTTTGAGTTATCGCCGCAGCTCTGCCTACCCCACTTCTTTATACGTCTTCATTTTATTGAGAATTATCTTTATTGCAATCTCGTGAATGAGGACGGGATTTCTTGGTTTTAGTTCGGAAGAATGATGTCATGTGTCTACTTGAGTACGCTGACAGTTTTAAAAGTACATTTTTTATGTACTTTTCAACTTGAAGTTTCGGGGTTTTGTCAATTTCAAATATCTTAGTATACTTAGCTGGTATAGTAAACCATAGATTCAAGTTACCATGCAACGGGAAACATTTATGTACTTAGGTATATAAATCTCTGCCGCATTCCATGAAACTTACATACCTACAGACTTATATTTGAGACAAGCAACTCTCGCGCTGTTTCACCCGCTGCTCGGCTCCTACAGATGGTAGCGTGATGTTTTATAGCCTATAGCACTCAGGAACATTGTAGCTATCTATCAGTGAAAGAATTTTGGCAATTCGACCAGCGGTTCCAAAGATTACCCCTACATACAATGTAGGGGTAATCTTTGGAACCGCTCTTACAAACATACAAACTTACAAATTTTACCTATAGATAAGTTTAGTATTAGTATATTAGTATAGATAAGTCTGTGATAATACCTACATTTTTTTTAAAACCTGCCAACTAACAAAAACCTTCTGAATTGTTTACAGAAACCGGCTGGAAAGCAATGCTGAGCACTGGTCAGCATTGTTACTGTCACTGAGAGAGCTCACTGAGTGGGTTATCAGGAAGGAGACAGAGCTCAACGCCCTCGCGCCTCCTCGGGGCGACCTGCCAGCTCTGCTCAAACAACAGGTAGGATGATACTTTTTTGATGAGATAAGTAAGGACGGATTACCTGGTGGTAAGCAGTTTTCGCCGCCCTTGGATACCCATAACACCAAAGGAGTTACGAGTGCGTTGCAAGACTTTGTGTGTTTCAGATATTTAAGGAGTAGATAGGGATAGGGAGGAGTGGAGGTAATGGGATTCCGGTAACGTCACTCACATTTCAAAATAAGGCTGTGGTTATTTCACGCTGGTTTTCTGTGAGGCCGTGTGAGCTTGGTTCACACTTAAAATAGGTATATTTATATTAACTACTACTCTGAAATTAGAAACGTCTCTGTCAGATAGTTAACCTTTATCAATTTCTAAAAGCCCGTAACGAGCTTGTGTGTAGTTGTTCTGGGTGATTCGTCTGCTCATTTCATGCCATTGGCCAAAAAAATTAAATTGTAACACCATAAGAGAAGATAATCAATAAAATATTGGTAGATGGAGATAAGATGCCAAAGAAGCATTGAGACAACGAGTTTTATTGGTGAATAAATAATTCAAATGAATATGCTACGTTTAGAAAAGAAAAAAAAAGAAGCAAGTATTGCTTGGCCAATTTTCAAATATTGTACCTAGTATTTTAAAATACCATAGAAATCGAATGAGAGATAATTTTTATAACGTTAGTTTCAATTTTAGGGACCTAGAGATACGGACAGTTATGGTTTTCACCGCGCTTAACGATGCCATTTCGGTCACAGCTCCCACCTCAAAATGGCCGACCAAGCAATTCGACCAAGAGTAATTGTTACCCGGCAACTTGTTTCAAATTGCTATAAGAGATGCTAGAAATATACCGAGGAACACTGGATACTGAATTGTTGAATAGGATTTTATTTTTATTGCTTTTCAAGTACCTACTAAAGGAAGGTTTTAAAAAGAAGTGCTACATCATAGAAGTCATTATCTCTTTCTATTTGTTTGCACTTGGAACTTAAGAGAGGAGAAATTCTCATTTCATTTTGATTTTATAGCTTTTTTATATTCTTAGTCTTTTTTTGTTTTTTTTTTTTATATAGTTTCATTGTTTCAATCCCCACGCTTGATCAAAGCGGATCGGCGATTTCAAACATATAATTAGAAATTATTAGTCCAGGTTTCCTGACAATGTTTTTCTTCACCATATTATTATGTAAATGGTGTCTAAATAATCATAGAAAGTACATGTAACTCGGAATAAGTCACATTGGTACTTGCCAGATTTGGAACCCGTTCCGTCATTAATGAGAAGCGGACGCCTCGACCTTGGGACCACCACTACCTACCTATATATTGAAGTCTTTAAAATCGAATAATACTAAATGTACTACAAATCCTAAAACTAATATTAAAGTTAAAGTCCTAAACTATGTCATCGTAAATCGACACAAGAGTCAACAATTTACATACAACGATAAACAATTTGGCCGCACTAATCCGCGGATCGCGGCTAAATCAACCGTTTACCGACGCCATTTTAAGTTTACAAACATAACAGATAAACAAAGAAGGTTTATTATCCACGGACATACACATCAGAAGACGATGTTGAGACTAATAATTATATGTTTATTTATATATGAAATAAAAAAAGATGATGATAAGTACGTATTCAAAGTCTAGGTAAATAGAAATTGTGAGAGACGGATCCTAGAGGGCTCAATTTAAACTTTGATTTTTTTAAGAAACATACGAATTTTATACGATATTCGAGTTTCCTAAATAATTCCTAGATATTATGGAAATTGAGCTTCTACCCTCGACTGTATAGTGACTGAAGAGCAACAAAATTCGAAGCTTAGTGGCGGGAATGTGTGGAATGTTAACAAGCGTTTAAGGGTTTGGATAATCGATCCTAATCGAATTTTGTGGCTAATGTTCGGGATATATGGGCTTTTGGTGGGTATTTTATTAAACTAACAATGTTAAAGGCATTCTTAGTCGAGACCATTACAAGAATTTCTTCGGTAGTCGATCAATTTGAATTGAATTCTACATACAATGGTTAAAATCACTTTAGTTACTTACTTTGAAAATTCATTTCCTAACTAATTCTACACATATTTTATTACGTTTACTTGACATGCAATATTTCTTTTTAACGTAAAATATTTAAAACTAGAACTACAATACGACGGCCACTATAACTTTAAATTTCCATTCCAGGATGACCACCGCGCGTTTAGGAGACAGCTCGAAGACAAACGGCCAGTCGTCGAGAGCAATCTCCTGAGTGGCAGACAATACATCGCGAATGAGCCTCCGCTGTCAGACACCAGCGACACTGAGGGTAAGTAGCGACATCTGTTAAATGCAATATAAAGACGTTTGCTTCTTATTTATACAAATAGATGGCACTGTTTGGTGTTTGATATATATATATATATTTGTTTATTTGTTACCAATTTATTTTCGTTTAATAACCTTTGAAAACTTATGATAATCGCCAATGACATGTAGAAAAAAATGAATAATTTCAAAGAAAAAAAACTGTTAGGAGTTTTTCATGTGAACTGAAGTAGGTATGACATGAATTTCACTTCGTAACATTCGATGAAGGCAGTTTTGCTTGAAATTCCGTGAGTCTGCCGTATATCTAACTGCTGTCAAAATTGAAATGAAAAACAAGCAGAAAGGCATAACACCATTCTGCGCACGATACGAAATACAAATTCCATCTACCGTACCGTACCTATCTGCAAAACATGAAAAAAATCCAAGCAGAATTGGTGGTAGAAGGGATGTATGTATCCAGCGCATTCAAAAATTACGTCGCTCTTGCTTACTTTTGGACTGATTATCAGGCTTTCCGGCTATACATTCAATACAAAATCAGTCTGTCTATACGTCAAAGTGCATTGTTCCGGATCAGTAGACATTCACACCTTGATTGCTGGCTGACTTGCCTGATATTTGCATATTTGATGCTGACACCGTTTTGTTATTGAATCCGTTGTCTGTGTGCAACCCCAGGTCAAGTAAGAACTTAGTTTACACTTGTATATCTTAAGATATTTGCAAAGCTTTGGATACCTTGTTGTTGTAAGTTTTATCATTAAGCGTTTCATTGGAAAATTTAAGTGAATAGTGCCCATAATGTTCAGCTATCAAAACATGAGTTTTGTGGCAAGCAAGCAAGGATTTTGCTACATGTATACAGAAATGAAAATCTCCGATTTTACGGGAGGATTAAAAACCAAAGCAAAGACTAAAGAAACAAGAGTCCAAAGAAACATAAAACCTAACCCTAAAGCGCTATATCACAAAAGCGCAGCAACAAAGCGGTGAACGAGTGAATGAATGAACGGAGAACGCAATTAGAAGCGTACCGGCCGCGCTAATTGCAAATTCCGTGCGGACCGGCTCAATCAATATAGTTTGCATTCACAAGGTGATAGCAATCGGCTAGCGGCAATCAATTGCCAGCTGCAATGATTGATTACGCCCGACCATTATGTTTTAAAGCGGTCAGTGTTTGAGGGTTAAGTGCGATTTGATGACTGTTCCAAGTTTTGCGGCAGGTTTCATGATTGTGTGTGGCGGAAGATCTGAAACTTACTCCGAGGTAGGATCGTTTTGAAACCCATCTGCTTTTAGCAACTTTGAATGGAACATACACATTCCTCCATACCTCAACAGAACTCGATACAGATTGTCACTCAACTGGATAATCCTAGTACCTGTATACAGGCATAGCATAATAATTGGCAAGTCGACAAGTGTTGAGCTTACATCCATGCGATAGCTGCCAGCTAGTCTTATAAGATGAACGGATTAGACGTCTGAATGCCTGTCAGGTTCCTCCCTTGCAAGATGTCGCTCAGCCCATCTCACTTAGTGAAACTTGCCAAATTATGCTTCTGTTAGTTTGTACAATTTTTATTTGTGCACTGAAAGGTTTTAATATTTGATGCTGCAAGTAAAATAAATAAAACATTATAACCAAAAATCTTTAAAAGTGATATTTTTTTAAAAGATGTAAAATTATATCACTGACTATTACTATAGTTTAAAAATTAATTTTCAATAGCAACTGTACAATAAATTCTCAGTAAGAAATCAAAGCTATATCGATAAAGTATAGGGGTGTCGGCAACCGTCCGTTACGGCCATTGGTTCAGTCGTAAATTTGAAAATGGAACCGACTTGGTGAACCAATGCCCGGGGACGATTCGAAATACGTCAGCGAACCTCCGATAGTGCCGTCATTTTTATCGATAATTTAGAGAAGGGTAGTCGTTTATGTCTGATGTTACATTATCAGTTACGAATAGTGTAATTTATTGTTATGCGAATAGCGAGTTAAATAATCATACCTAACTAAATTCTACATTCGTTACTTATTCTCACTCAAAATAGTTTTGTAAAGAAACAAACCGCAAAAACCACAAAATATAAAATTCCGTCTCTCCGTCCGTCAAACTAGAAAGTTTAAATATTCAAAAACTTTCTGAATTGCACTCAATATTTCAGGATTAAGTTCACTGAAATCCCCTGACAAAAATTGCACGCAAAAGCCGCTTCGTCCAAAATTCACGAAACTAGTGACAGGCAAAAACTCGACTAAACTCGATAAGTCGATTGGCGCTGTTGTCAGTGTTCCCACTCTAGTGAAAATATCGAGTGGAATTCGTGAGGCTTGTTTAGATGACAGCTATTTTTCTTTCATGTTTATCTCTTGTTTCGGATTTATTGGGGTTTTTTTATTCGCAGATAGACATGTTATGGTATGGGGTAGTAAATGTACCCGCTGTACCTTGCAGACGTCATATGAGCCATATCATATGAGGGGTACTTTCAATTTTATTTGCTTTAGAAAAATACAAAACAAAGTAATGATATCCTAGTATAGCAATTTATGTAAGATATCTAAAATAGCACTAAAACAGATAGTAACATTAACAAAACTAAATAGGAACTATGTTCAAAAGGCACCGCTAACCAAATTACTGAACCGTCACAGAGAAAAATGTTACAAGATGAAAAAAAAATGAAAAATATTCGGTCGACAGCGTCGCGGCCGACGAGTGCTTCGTTTGAATTCGTGGGCTAGTGACAAAGCGAGTGGACTTGAAAATCCACTGGTTTTATAAAAATGTCGCTGTTACGGTTCGATGTTGAAGTTTTTTAGAATGTAGGTAAATTGCATAGACTAGGAGAGCAATTTGTGAAAAACCTGTTGTCATGTATTTTGAGAATATTCGCTATACCTTTTGTATTGTACAATTTAGTTAGGAAATTGATTTTGTTTTGCTCCAACATTTAAACTTAAAGTAACAAATTATCTTAAACCCCAAATAAACTGACATTACATAGAGACGGGGTCTAAGGGTCTAAGCAAAACTTATAATAAACATTGGCTTTGTGAGATACCACAAGCATATCTTTGGGTCGAAAGCCCCATAACCTTCAAACTGCTATCATGATGAAACTCTGCAACAATTCCTTTGCTGTCAAATTTCAACTCCTCAAAACTATGCCAGTGCAATATCCAAAGTGAAGGCAGAAGAACGCCGACGTGGAAGTAACGTTGTAATTATTAAATTCCCCCCGCAACCCTGCCCCCTCCTCTACTCACGCCGCGCTCGCGCTCCGCTCACGCTCCAAATATTGAGAGCTCAGCTCGTGGATGGCCCGAGTTGCTACTTAACACTGAAAAGCTGTGACATGTTTATTTTATCGTCAGAAAAGTTATTTTTTTGATGTGGTAATTATGAGTTGGTTTTGCCTTATCTACGTGTTAATTAGTTAAGATTTTGATTCATGAATCTAGCCGCTTAGAAATTGGAATGATTTTTAGGCAATGAGGCTTAGACTTCGATTATCAATCCTGATAAAAGAAAACTAATTAGCATTACTAATACTGATAAATAAATGATGACTAAGGAGATCGGACTTTACAGCTAGAAAATCATTTCGATTCGACACGGTTTCCTTCGCCCAGGATAAGGCTAAAGGGATTGTCAGATTGTGACTGATTTTATTTTAATCACGAGCTCTTAACTATATAAGCTAACTATATAACTCATAACTATATTGCCTAACTATTCCGTTTCTAATCACTATTTTCATTCCAGCGAGTCGCGAAAACGAAGGTGACTCCCGTGGGTACCGCTCAGCGGAGGAGCAGGCTCGTGAACTGGCCAGATCCATTAGGAGGGAGGTGGCTAAGTTGGCAGACAAGTGGAACTCACTGGTGGACCGCAGCGACGCCTGGGGTCGGTGCTTGGATGATGCTGTACAGGTAGGACTTTGTTACTTCTTTGATAATTTTACTAATAGCGATATATAATTGAGTACTTGGATAAAACAGCAATTAAAAAATCTAGGCTAGTATCGTTTATATCTTCATATACTAAATAGTTTAGACGGTATCACGAAATATCAAAATTTGTATAGATTTTTAAAATAGTGTACAAAAAGAATTCCTTCCGGATTTTTTTTAAATCTTCTTAATTACTTATAGTTATCAAAGGATGAGCCTTCTAGGCGGAGATAATATTTATAAGAAATATATATAATTTAAAATACATCAAAAATTATGCTTTAAAACGAAACTTAACTACACGCCATCTGTATTTCTGTACTGGAACTAGTAACTGTAACGATGTTAAACTCATACCATGGTCACAGATGGCGTTACTGTTCACTTCACAAACATCGACCATTAGCATGATCTCATTCAAAGCTTGAGCAGGATGTCCGGCGGAGATGAAAAGTTCAATTCTTACTGTGATTTCTATAGATGTTGAACAAATAACCATGTGAATGAGGTCCACGATTTATGTATGCGCGTTGCAGTTTTAGGTTTAAAGAAATAATATAGACGTACCGAGAACATAAATTGGCCGAAATGTCTTACAGCTATATTGTCAGACATTATAATACTTATGCTAGATTTACATTAAACAACGTGTATTTTTTTCTTTCCATTTAAATTTTCTCCACGTCAGGATTTTCTCCTGTGTCGGGATTGCTTTTACGAACATACAAATTCATATACATAATCCACCCAGACCCGAAACAACTATTTGTGGATCACGCAAAGTGTGGGAACCGAACCCGCGACCCGTTGCATTACAGCCAGTTGCCCAGCCACTGCGTCAACCTTGCTATCAAAACTTAGCCAGTCAAGCGTAATTGAAAAGTTAATACCTAAACAAAATTAATAGAGCACATTCAATTGATAACACATATTAAAAAGTGTCATTAGGGGAGATAAAAAGCAGGATCTGTTTTGAAAAAAACTATAAGTATTATCAGAAGATATCATTTACATAATTAATTAAACCGATCAACATTAATTCATAACTACTTGTATGTCAATTGTCATGCAATCGCCATACAAGAAATTATAACATCTAACAGACACAGAAACTCGGTCATAGATTTGCAGACTTCATTCAATGCCATTTGACGGGAATGATTGATTTATGAGCGCACCATAAACAAAATGAGCATGTCGCATGAATAGCTTGGCGCAGCTTAATGGCTTGTGCTGCAATAATGCAGGAAGCTGTCACAATGGCAGTTAATGCTGGCTTGGGAGGGAGGATCACGCCGCGCCCAGCCTCGCGCCGACTCAATCAGCTCACTAACTCACATGTTGATGTACAGTGATGGATGTGGCAGTTGGGTTTCAAGAGCAAAATAAGCTGTTTTGTGAATGTAATTCTATTTGATAAAAACACATTTATCCATCATTACATGTAGGTACTCGTAGATTCAAGTTAAGATCAGTCTGCAAATTGTTGGTCCGTGTCTGGCTCTGTATGTTAAATTATATGTTTGTAAACTTATCCACAACCCAGGAATAAAATCTACTGTTAAATATGTTTTTTAAATACAAAATATTTATCCTGAAAAGACAACTTCAATTTTTTTTTTTTGTAACAAATAGATAATAGAAAATGTTATCCAACAAAGAGGAATGCGAAAAAAATCTCTTAAACTACGCTCACTCGTTCAAAATCACTTCTAGTACCATTACATCGGAAGTGCATTCAACTTAATTGTGAACATAGTGAGTGAATGGTGTCGGGATGGCCCCATGATCTGATACCGTTGGAATGTGGGGCATGTCAGCAATCCAACCTGGGCCACTCCTCAACTTTTCGTGTTCAAGAATTGCCATTGGGCTGCATTTCGCCATAAATATTTTTGTATTGTCACTTTGTTCCAATTTCGTTATGTAATCGAATTGTGTAGGAATTAAAAGTGTTGATGGTTTATATTTAACATATGTTATAGTAACGAATCGTGGGTTCTGTTCCCGCACGGAAAATTGTCTTCATTTTGAGTCTTTTAAAAATAGCAGACATAATCATCACTACAGTTTCATCAAAGTTCTCCAATAGCAAAACTTGTGCCTTTAAGAGCAACAATTAATTATTCTTAAGACTATCAACAAGATCTTAAACACACACTAGACCTGTCAACAACAGTCTAGCTAGGATTAAACATTCCACCTAAAAGCAAATCTACCTCTAATTAATCTAACTAAAACACCTCCAACAATACACTGACGCGAACAGCAAAGATTAGCAGCTCTACACACACTCTACAATACCTCTACCATGAGTTTAAAACAATAGTATATTTTATGTCAATTTGATCGATGAAGGAAAACATCGTGAGAAAATCTGGACCTATATTTTCTGATTATAACTTGAAAATCGCCAATCAGTCTTGAGTAATCGTGGAGATTAATACTCAAACATTCTCCGTGTGAGAAAAGGCCTTCGCTCAGCAGATTATTATGCTGATGATGATGATGTCGATAGTCGATAGTAACAAGTAATTTTAATTTCGTAAATGACCGCTAGGGGCCACATTAAAACTTAGAAGTGCCACGATTATTTTGTTCATAGGTACTGCCAGGTTAAAAGTATCCAGGCCATAAAACAGGGCGAAATTGAATGGATGCGACAAATTTCAACATACAATAATTACGTGTTGTTAAGAAAATTTAGAACATATCAAATGTTACATTATTAAATTTTAAATTAGGTAAAATGAGGTGAATGATCGCTAGGAACGAAAACGTTTAATAGCAATAGTTATGTCGGACGAGCTTTCTTGATATTTTAATTTTTCTTATTTATTTTGCATATTAATTATTTTTCTGGAATACTGATAATTCGTACTTAAATTAAGATAACAACGTCAATAGACCTTTTTAAAACAATAATCACGTCAATTTATTTATGGTCTTAGATTGTAGAAAGAACATATTATTTATATATTACTGTAACTAAAGCTCCCATTTCATTTTGTCGCATTTATTCGATTTCAGATTTTCAGTATATCTCTGATCCAAATTTCATTCATATTCTTTCACTTACTATTACTTATTCTTTTCACTTACTATTACTTACAATAATAGTGGGATTAACGTATCGACAAATACGTTTGACAAACTCATGGTAGAGGTAGGTCTCTACAGCTCTAGGTAGAGTCGGTTCAACGGCACGTCACAGTTGCTGCGCCCGTACAAAAGCTCGCAGATTGGTAGAGCGAGTACTCGCTACTTAGTATTGTTCTATTACTCTACGTACTCTATCATTGCTCGTTTCAATTAATGTAGAGAAATTTCGTCGGTGTCTGGATTAATTTTAGTGTATTTACTTTTAGTAGGTAAACTTTTTAGTAGTTAGTAATTGCTAGAAATCTTTGTGAGTGACTTAAATGTAAATAGAGGCCAATTAATTTTTTTATGTCTTAACTTAATAGAAGTTATTTAGATATAGCATTCTTTTACTCGACCTGAAAAAAATATATTCTCTGTGGAATTTAAGGTTTTCCACTAGGTTCTGAATGCATAAGAGCGGTTGTATTAGAGTCAATTCCCGCATGAAACAACTCTTTGTGTGATCAACAAATTGTTGTTCGGGGTCTGGGTGTGATGTGTACCTATGTGAAATTGTGTGTGAGTAAACGCCCCCACGACACGACACAGGAGAAAATCCTAGATCTGGACAACATTTTTTTTTGAAAAAAAACATTATCATTTTACTTTCAAACTACTGAAAGTACTAAAACAATACGACAACTTAAATAAATACAAAGACATTATTCTCCCATCTCATCGTGAGTGACACGCGAAGGCCCGGGTTCGACGCCGGCGATAAATCAAGGAAACTATTTTAATTACGCAGACACGTCCACTGGAACTGAGTTGCAGACGAAACACTGACGTATACAAATGTATAAATTGTATGTTTATGTTAAAGTATATAAATAGTATATAATGTATTGTTCTTCAATCTATATTATTTTGAATGGTAATAATTTCATACTTATCTACATAGGAATAAGGAACAAAAAAATTTAGTTGTAAAAAAACTCATATAATTATGATTTGATGACCATTCTTACTGCCTTCAGGAGATCTATTTTTAGATTTTTAGGTAAATGTACCTAATGGATTTTTTTCATAATACCTAGGAACAAACACGATGGCCGCTATTTTTAAGGGGAGGCCGGAAAACGTCCAATTTCTTCTTCTTAGGTTCGATTCATCGGTCAAAATATTATTAGGACTTTCGCTTTGCCAATAGACCACCACAGATCCCCATCTGTGGTGGTCTATTATCCCAACGGGACTGATGTTCAGCTGGAGTTACGGGGAAGCACTGTAAGTTACCGCGGTTTCCGCCTGGAGCCGGCGAAGGAAGGGCCTCTTACACTCCCTCCCACCTTACTTAAGGTGAGTGAGGACATTAGATGATTTTCTCCCAAATAAAGAGACTTACACTTTCGGCTTTCGTCATTTTTTCAACATGAGCATGCTGCCCAGAATGGAAATAAACCTTCACGTCCTTTGTCCTCCACAGACATGATGAAAATTGGGTGTGCAGTTACTTTACCTATTTATTGTGGGAGTATGTTTATCATTATGTCCCTGAGCTTTCTAGCACCCATTATACAGTACAAGAATCCTTTGTATAACTCAAATAAAAATCTCAAAAAATGACTTGTTAAAACGAAATCTCACTTCGAAATCTACATAAGAGTTTGCAGATAATCCTTAGTCTAGTCTAGATGGTACGCTCAAATCACAGCGCCTAGAGCTTTCAGCGCTAATCCTGGTATATCGAGCTGCTTAGCATTTTGTCGATAACAATGCAACGCGGTTCGTTATCGACATCGTTATGCGACCACTCTGCGATGAGTACTAGTGTTGAGAACTTGGGATTTGAAATATCGTTGCAATAAGGTGTTAGGTTTGTTTGGTACGGTGATTGGTAAAGTTTTTTGAATAATACCAGTTAAAAAGGATACAAATATACTAAAAAAACAAGAGGTATATGAATTGATCTCATAAATAAAATGTATAGTAGGAACATACTATTTTGACAGGTTAATAGTATTACTGTCTACAAAAGCAATTTACACAAAAAACTACAATATTTCCTAAGTCAAAACATTCTCCATGTAATCTACAATCGTACCTTACTATCGATATCGATTTCATTAATTAAAGCGAGCCCAGCCCTACATAAAAGATTCAGAGGCGGCTTTCGTTACCAGCGATCGGTTCGATCTGTTACAAATTGTCATATTTTTTGTCCCACTTCCTTTGATAGAAGCAAATGAAATGGCGATATCGTCGCACATGCCTCCAATAGACTAGGATTATGCTTCGATAATAATCTCTTTTAGCGGTGCGAGAATATGTCTGTACATGGTGTTTTTTAAAGTTAGTAACTGTTTTGCACTGGGACATAAAGGAAATTTGGAATCCGGTTGTATGAATCCTTCTTGGTTCTGGTTATTATGACTAAGATCCATAAGAAGACATTACAGCTGGTCAAAAATCCAGAAAAGTGCGAATTCAGGTCGACCTAAGAGAGTGGTATCCTAGGGTCAGTAGTTCAAGTCTAAGGACTGTTACCCTGTAAATTCAGTCTAATTTTGTTATGATTCAATGCTGATCCCAAAACCACTAGGGAAAAGATTAAGGAACAGAATAAAGTTAAGTGTTTTCCAGAAGATGACCCCACAGTTGACGCAGTAACTAGGTAACTGGCTGCTGTGCAACGTATCGCGGGTTTTTTTTTTTGTGAGGGGAAAATCATCAAATGACTTCTCCCGCCCAGGGCCGGGCAGGAGGGAGTGTCAGACTCTTACTGACTAAAAACCCCCCTGTTCCTTCTCCTGCTCTGTGCCGAGGTCGCGGTACCTCATTGCGCTTACCCCGCAACCCCTGCTGAACATCAGCCCTTTAGGGCCCCGTCTGTGGTGGTCGAATGGCTCTTTGAGGCGCGCGCGGAACGCTACGCGCCTCAAAGAGCCATTCGACGAGCCGGCGCGCGAGTGGCCGGAGATCGTCCCTCGATCCCCGACGCCCGTAGGGTCGCCAGTTGCGGCTGCTGGGGCGTGAGGAGGAGAATTGCTCCCTCACGCTGGCCGCCTCTCTCTTTGCGAGCATGACTGCTTCAACGTATCGCGGGTAAGATTCCCGCACGGAACAATGGTGTGATCCACAAATTTTTGTTTTGGGTGTGGATGGCTTGTAAACGTATCTACCCACGACACAGCATAGATTTTTTTTAGAAAAAAAGTGTCTTATTCCATACCCACAGAGTATGGTAATGTACACAGAGACCATTAAAAATAATAGCAACAGTCTTCCGATATTAAATTGAGAAAGGCTTCGACCGACATATCCACCGATGAATGGGACTTCGGTGCGATACAATATTGCACTGCGAAATATAAAAGGATATAAAGTGATCTCTTGTTGTTTCGTTTACAATGTTTGGCAGTAGTTTAGAATTTATTGTTTATTTTTAAAAAATACAGCTGCAATTTGTCGTCACAGATTTTGATTGTACAAAATTATAAAATATTATCATTATTTTATTGAAAATTTAAAGTTGTTCGTAACAGTTTGTCAACCTTGATTAGATAGGTACACTGTTAGAACAATTGGAATACAGTGTTGAAAAATATAAACTGTTATAAACAAAAAAAACTATACATTTTCCATATTTTCTAATAAATACCCTGGAAACAAACTAAATAACACCAGAAAATTTTATAATTTATCAATTATTCTAAACCACATTCTTACATGACTATCCTTTCACTCCGTCGGAGAAAATCTATAGTTGCAATAACTCGCCACCAGCACAATATGGCAGCACTGTGCCCTCCTACATATCGGTCGGTGAATAGGCTTCATTATAAATTCAATCGCATTCCATTTGCGGCGCAACACACGACCGCGATATTTCAGCGGCTGGAGAGCTGTATGACGCAAACTTTTTATATGTTTGTGAAAAATTGCGTTTGCAGTTTTAAGTGCTTTGCCAATACATGGGAATAAAAATGTCGTTTCAGCAAAGTGCTCGCTATGACCCGGTTTTTTTTTATTTTATTCTCTATATTATGTTTATATGAATTGGATTGGGTTTTTAATTGAGTCTTTGATATAGGCTTTTGATGAGGTTGATTTTTTTTTCTTTTTGTTGTCATATCGTCGCCAGATCGATCAGACGGGTTACCTGATAATAAGCAATCGGTACCGCACATAGTCCCGCAACACAACAGCAGGGGAGTTACGGACGAGGTTACCGGCTTTTTGAGGATTCGGGTTTTAGAAATTTAGAGATTCTTTAGGGATAAAGAGAGGGGACGGATTGAGCCTCCAGTGTTCACCCTGGTTCTGTGTGACCACTACTGTCTCAAACTTAGCCGGCTTATTCTAGCTGTCTTTTATAGGTTGGTTTTTTAACAAGTCGATTTTTTGAGCATTATATTTACATAAAACTAGCTTTTGCCCGCGACTCCTTTTGCGTGGAATAGTGACTTCCGGAAAATTTTTGGTATAAAAACTATCCTATGTCCTTTCTCGAGTTCCAAACTATATCTGTACCAAACACAGAAATCGGTTCAGTAGTTTAGGCGTGAAGAAAAGACAGACAGAGTTACTTTCGCATTTATAATATTAGTTTGGATTTAGTGGCATATTTAGGATTGTTTTCGTTCATACAAGAATTAAGCACAATAATTAAAATTAACATGACATAATAAATATTCAAATATTTCAAAAGTAGCCACCTAACAAGTACTGGAACCATTATTAATAAACATTATACAGCTAGACCTCTGCCTACCCTGCACGATCACCAGTACTAATGTATGCGGCCACACGCTTCGTATGCACGCAACCGTTCGGATTACTGTCGCCATAATCCTCGGCATAAGCTGGACATGTCCTGTTACCTTACGATCGCGTTTCGTGATGGAAAATGGTTAAAGATTTATGAGACACTCTTTACGTAATCCTTTGATGTCAAGGGATAGGAAAGATTAAGCAGGATTTCGTTTATTTTCATTAGTACTTAGGTATAGCCACTTTTTCCTTGGTGTTTTTAACGGTACTGTAAATGAAAGCCATGTAACTTATTCCAACTAAACTATAAAAAGGTACTTTTAAAACGTCTAAATAGAATATTGTTTGTCAGTCAGTTCGTCAGTGTAGCTAGGTCTTCGTTCCAAAGTAAAATTATATATATGTTGCAATGAAAGTTATTATCAAACCCCACGCATAATGTTAGCTCACCAACATTAGTGCCAAATTTGAAGCTTAATTTTGGAGTTTTGCCTAATAAATGATTGATGACGTGTATTACGGAATGCATTGGACTAGATCCTAATATCATCTGTTATAATTAACATAGCAATGACATTTCCGCGCTTATTTGTAGTGTTAGGTGCGTAAGGTTTCCGAATTAAATGTATATTTAACAATCTGATCTGGATTCGTTCGTTCACTAATAGTTAATGACCCTGAAATAGCGTCATTAACCTTTAAGTGGCCTCTTCTCATACGGAGAAGGATAACGCATTTATCATCACACTTGCTCAATGCGAATTGGTGGTTTCAAACTTCTAATAAAATGGGCGGCGCTGCTTGCTTACCATCAGGTGACCATACCATAGGCTCGTTTGTTGTATTATCCCACACAAAAACAAAGAACCACTTAAAAAAATGCCTGCTTCATTCTAATGCATCATGTACGAATCAAAATGCATCTTAGACATAAAAATATGTAACATAAAACACAGCAAAAAACGGAACTATCCTATTAATTTAAAAAACTAAACCCACCCTACTAGTACTAACTAAACGCGGGCAGAGCAGGCGTGCCTTCGCAAGAGAATTTTTTGGACGTACAAACATACGGGCGGACAGTTTGTAAAAATTGCTCTTAATTGACATACTGTGTTGCTGGCGGATTTGTTTCGAAGCCTGGACCTTTGCTGATACGAGGTTATGGAATTGGGACAGAACCTGGACGAAATATAGAGGGATTTTTTGAAATATTTTGTTTAGATAGGCTAGTGTAGGTATGTTCGTGGGATATTGGTCTGAGAGGAAGTTTTAGGTGGCTATTGTCTTTAATTCTGCTATTGTTATTTTTGTTAATTTATTGCTAAATTTGAGTGCACAGATGACGATGACTGGGCAACTGACTGCCGGGAATTGTGTCGCGTGTTCGATTTCCGCACATAACAACTCTTGGAGATTTATTTCATCCACGAATTGTTGTTCCTTGTTTTTTGTGTGATTTCTTTTTGTTTTTGTCGGGAAAAATCATCAAATAACTTCTCCAACTGAGACGAGGACACGGTGCCTAATTGTGTCTACTCCGCAATCCTGAGTGAACATCAGCCTTATAGGGCCTTGTTAGGCTG